ACCCAACAATAACGGGGTGAAGGCAGCCACCGCGATTTGTTTGTGTGCGACAGCAGGTACAGCGTCCCAGCCAGCCATGGGGGACACCGGGGTGGCACACGCAGGGACCAGCTCCGTCTCCGCGGGCGGGGAGGGGGGTTTGTTTGGGGAACTGGGGCACAGTCGGCCCTGGAGGGGCTCCTCTGGAGCTCCAAACTTGCAGTGAGGTCCCAGGGAGCAGAACGAGCTTGCGCTGCAAGCAGTGGAGGCTTTTAAATCGAGTGTGCAAAACATATGCTCAGCCAGGGCTCTGGGAACATGGTGCATGGATTTTATTCTTTTTTTTTTTTTTTTTAATGATTGTCCTAAAGCAAGCTGTTTGCACGCTTACTTGGGCATATTTTTTTTTCTGCACTGCAGCTTGATGTTAGGGAAAAGCACTGAACAAATGTTTTTGGTAAATTAAAACCATGAATGCCTTTATCTATGGATTCGTATACGACTGGGCATTGGTATGTAGCTACTGAAACATAAACATGTCAGAGGCAGTGAAATATATGCCAAACGATCCTAGCAACAAAGCAATTTTTTATTTGCGTTATGGAGCTTATTAATTGTAATTAGCACAACTAGCGCTTCTGTAGCTTTTGGCATTATTTCCAAAGTGATGTGCAAATAATCTTTTAAAAGAAAAAAACAACAACCTCAAACCATAAATACCTTGATAAAATTAATATTTATGAGTTAATCTTAGAAACAAATTCCTATACTTTGCTAAAATTATATTTTAAAGCACTTTTTATCTCCAAGAGTTTAACTGACAATTATTTTCCATATGCCCATATCCTCTGTCTGGTCCTGCTTTTCAGGCCCATTCCCTGTAGCAGGAATTTAAATCAACCATATGAATGAGAACATTTTTATGGGAAGGGTTTTAGATTACAGAAGTCAGTGCGTGCACTAAGAGGGCTGAAAATCCAGGTGTTTGCTCCAGCTGCTCCGCATATTTCACAAAATATATTCAACTGAACACTGCAGGCATTTGACTGCCTTCCTACCCCTGCCCTGATGGGGTTTTCTCCAAAACTCACATCATCAGCAGGGGTTATGTGGTTCCAGGACACAGATGAGGGACCCCCAGAGAAAAAACACCCCATTAAATTACATCAAAGTTCAGAGACACATGAAATCTAAGCGACCAGTCAAGGAGGCTTTTGGAAAAGGTAGTTTGGGAACTGAAAAGGAGAGAGAAAACATTTGGGGAGTATTGAAACAGCCTAAATTGTACCTCAGCCCCTGAGTCTCATCCACAGTGAAAGTCTGACACCTCCGAAGAATAAGGAACTAATTGGGCAGCTGTGGAAACGCAGCCAGTAGGAAACACAAAGCACCGCCGACGTACATGGAAATTAGGGCAGATGAGTTTAGCCCAAAATACATAAAAACTGGAGGCTGTTCAGAGCGAAAAATGATGCTCTAAAATATCCTTAAAACTAGTGCAAGCAGAAGAGAATATTTTCTGCTGTGTCTTATACCAGTGCAGATCAGGAATGGTCCCAGCAGCAGAACTGCATCAACTGAATTAATGCTTGCTTGCTGCCTTTGTTGATTAAAGGATAACTTGGTCTATCTGTTCTTCGTGAGCTCACTAAATGACGCCTTTTCCCCTAGGACCCATAGCAAAGACTACAAAAAGAGACTGGATTCAGAGAAACAAAACCCTAACCTTCCACAGTTTGCCAGTTAAACACAACAGAGCTCCCTACACCATGTCTGTGCAGCCCAGCAGTCACTCAGCCTCACTGGAACAGACCCACAGTGCTGAAACAATCACTGGTAAGAGTGAAAACGTTGGTTGTGAACCAGCGATGGGAGGATGGAAAAGTATGGGTGTGGGACAGAACTGGAGACGTGGGTGGAAGAAGAGGCCAGGGACTTGAGTTGCTCGTTATCTCCAAATTGGTTTATCTTTGCTTTCCCATCAGCGTGTGTAAGGTGAACTGTGTTTCACACAACTTTCAGATAAGCCAGGAATCAACATCTCCTTTTTGGGGTCAGAACACAAGCATTTTCCGGTTTATTGATGCTTTTTTGTTAATTCCTACAGACACAAAAGGCTCAGTGGTTAAGATCCAGCAAGCCCCTACGCCCATCCCTGCTGTAAAACCTCCCGTGTCTGTTATCAGCAGGTCCCAGTTGATTGATTTGTTCATGGTTTTCCTTGGGCCAGGATCAAAGATGCCTTCTCCAGATACAGAGTCAACATCTAGAAGTCCCTCTTCCAGACCTGGAACGGAAGCCCAGCTTGGGCTGTCAGGTAAGGTCACGATGCTCGGCAGCTTTTTGTTGTTAGGTCAAAGGAGAGGCTGTATTCAGACTGTCCTGCCCACAACCAGAGGAGATGGGTAAAATAGCCCCAGACTTACAAAAATCCCTGGCTGAAATCCTGAGTTGATCAGCAGATATGGTCAAGTGACATAAACAACACAGAGGTCTCAGTTATATCACTGGCTTCTAATAAGCCCTATCCAGCCCTATCCTGTCCTATGATCCAGCATCATCAGACATCTGCAGCTGGGGGCACAGCTGCCCACCCTCCAGGCGTGATGCCACAGATCAGAGTCCCTTTGCACGGGGTCTTGATATTCTAACTTCCATCTTCTACATCCTCATCCATTTTTTGCAGAAAACACGGAAGAGGATGAAGCAAACCAAATGACAAATCCATTTACAATTCCTCCAGACATTGATATTTTCTCAGTAAGGGACAAGGAAAGACAAAAGGCTAAGGAGGTACGTATGCGTGCTTCAGGCCAATGTATATACAAGCTGTTCTCTAGGGCAGGAAACCAACCGATATAATACCAAAATCTAGTGCACAGGAGAAACAGCAGCTGCCAAATTCAACTGAGATTCCCCCAGATCAGCCTCAAGTCCTCTGAAGTCCACGATGAGAGATTAACTTCACCAGGAGCAGACCTGAGCACAGGCTTGCTGGCTGCTAGTGCAAACTCTGGACAGTGTCACTCTGGTTACTTCCTTCAAGGCAGATCTACCGCTCATTCCTGTTCCTGGAGAAGATACCTGTCAGTGCTGTTGGCATTGATTTCTACACAAAGCTGTGGTGCAAGATCTCTTGCTTTCCACTTCAACAGGCTTGGGAAGCTGTATTCCAGTGTTTAATGTGACCTTCTGAAATGCTAACGAAAGGAATGCCTAGGAAGGAAGACATGGGTTTCACGCCTTAGGTTTCTCTCCATTAAATAGGGAATCACAGCCCACCAGAGCAGAAGGCTGGCTCTCAGGAATGTCTCTTTCTCCTTATTTCTGCAGTGAACTCTCCTTAGGCTATGTGATCCCAAGGGGTTGGGAAGTCATGGAGAGGTTGTCACATCTCTGAGAGGTCCGATGGCTGCAGGAGGTTGCAGGAGCCAGGCAGACGTGTGGAAGGAAGAGGTCTTTGGTTCTAAATCCCAAAGGGAGGGCTCCAAACAAGCCTAAGCAAGCCTCCTTGCCTCACACTGATGACTGATAGTCTGGTTTTAGCTTGGGCTGAAGGTCACTGTAAAGGAATGGGGAAGGGCTTAGGAAGAAGTTCACCAAGGATGTCTGCTGAGTGATGTCCTCAGCCTAAGCCATGCCCAACTGTGCAGAGAGCAATGAATTACACTTCAGCCTGCGTGAAAGCACTGGGCATGAACAACCCTTTACCCTCCAGAAAGCTCTGGAGTGGGTTTGAATAGAGCCTCTCAATCTGAACTTGAGGGTTTACCTGGCTTTGTGAAAGCTGGGCTGAGTCAGTATTGAGTGTGTCTGTCCTCTTGTTCCCTTTCATTAGGGGACTTGAAAGATGAATCTTGGAAAATTTCCATTCTCTCTCAGGAATAATCCAGGAAGGAAAAATGAGGATGCTGAGGAGGTACAAACTGGCACAGCTGGTGGCTGGATGCAGAATACAAATCAACAAACTAATAAGAACAAATGCTAAGAAATGAAGTGTTTCAGTTGCCTCAAGAGAGAATATGATTGGGATTAGTCAGATAAACCAGGCAAATATGCATCAGCAGGATACCAGCAGCCTGCAAATTTCTAGACTGTGAATAACCACTCATGTCTTTAAAAACCATAGCAAACAAAGCACATAATCAAACTGTCCACATAACTGACTTCTCCTGATAGGAACGCGAAAGGATGAAGACCATGAAAATCCATGAGAAAATGACTTATTCCGCTAAAATAAAAGCAAAGCCAAAAGATGTCCGGAAAGCTCTGCAAAAGGAGGAAGAAGAGGCGGCCAGAAAACAAGCAACAGATGAAGAGAGACTAAAAACTCTTCAGGAGACCCTTTCACGGAAGATGGTTCTTGGAAAAGGTAGGGAGCAGTTACTATCCTCATAGTGGTGCTGCTCAGCTGGGTAACAACAGCCCAAAGCAAAAATCCAAGAGGGGATGGGAGCAGCAGTGAGCTCTGCTGGCTGTGGTGAGCTGCGAGTCAGCTGAGAGTTTGCAGGACCTTGTGTCAGGGAGACATTTCTTCTAAGATGACCTAAAGATGGATTTTAGTGGACGTGGGCGTAAATTTTCTGCCTCTGCCATAAGTAGCTTCACCATTCATGCCTACAGGACACCATCCTTTGTCAGGACCAGATTCTCCACTCCGTTCTACCTGGTTTTACTCCATGAAGCCCATATGAAACTGATCCTAAACGAGGTCAAAACTATAATGGAATAATCAGTATTGCTGGCTCCAACGCCAGCCACATCCATGCTCACAGCAGCCTCCATGGGTTTTGGCTTGGCCATATTTTCCTCTCTAGTCTGATGAACTTCATCTCCTCATTTCAGATTACCCATTAGAAAAGCAGACCTTCTGTGACTACATAAATGAAAGGAGAGAGACATTTTTACTTGAGGTACGTGGCTTTAAGAGTGTTACTTTGTGTTCATTTAATTGTTCTTCCCTTTGTTGCTTTGTTTTGGTTTGGTTTTTTTTTTTCCTGAGATCCATCACCTAGAGATCACACCAAGGAGGCACACATGAGACTGTCCAAGTCCCGTGGTAAAGACACCCATAGTCTGTAGCCCAGCAATTCCCAACCAGGAAAGAAAGGAACATAGGTCGTTTGCACCCTCCAGTAGCAGCCACACAACTATTTCATTCGTGAACTTGGCAGGCAGACTGACCTTTTGGTTCCTGCTTCCCATACATACATTATACCTGGGAGACATTCTGAACTAACAATAGGGGAGCTGTGCTAGAATATCCCCGTTGTTCACCCCTGCTATTGTGCTGTGACACAAGTGACTCGGTCTTTGTCAGCCAGGAGTTAACGCAGTGCTGGGACTTCTGGGCTCTGCCTTTAGTGTCACTGCTTACCTGCTGCCTTACTTCTGGAACATCTCCTGGCCTCTGGGTAACTAGTTTGCACTGAGACACATACCTTGGCTTGAAATCCTTACCCTCTCCGCCAACAGCTATAAGATAATAAGGTAACCGAGAACAAAGCTGAGCCAACCTGTAAAACCAACGGGCCGGTGTGACCCTCTTGCCTTTCGGGTTCGTTTCAGTATGCCATGGCAGTGAAGAGAGATGAGATTCAAAGGATGGAGAACATAGTCAAGGATGAGGAAAGAAAACTGGAGGAGGCTGAATACTACTTGAAGAAGGATGCTGCCGTGTATGAGGAGTTCACAAAGGAGAGTCATGCAAACTACATTCAAGCTCTGAAAATGTAATGGAAGCTGAAGGAATCGCCCGGCTGCTCTTCTGCTCTGGCCACAGGAGGTCTTTTGCTTGACCTCCCTGCAGGGTTTTAGCGAGCATCCATCCTTGGATGCTCCGTGTCTGAGCTTTCCCAGAGTGACAATACCAGTGGCACTTTCTCCCCCCACATTCAATGAAAGAGAGGAAGGAGGCCGACAGCTGGGGAATCCCCTCATTGCAACAGCCCTTGATTTGGCCGCAGCAAGGCACCTGCCCTTGACCCCACCACCTCCATTCTTCTCACGACACCCTTACGAGAGGGAGATGCTTCTACCCAGCCCCTCTCAGCAGGACCAGCCCCCTAAGCGAAGCAAGCTGAGCACTTTGGCCCGTCACAGGCAAGGGCAGAGCAGCAATTGATGCTCAGCAGCAGCCAGATTAGGGGGCCCTTCACCTGGACGTGTCGCTGGGACCCCATACTCTCTTTGCCAAGACAAGCAGGAGCCAGGCATCACCTGGGGTATATCTAGAAATTTCCAGCATTCCCCCCACATCTTTCCCTCTGTTTTATATGTACCTCAATTCACTACGCATCTAGAAGAGATTTCTAGCATTCCCCCCACATCTTTCTCTCTGTTTTATATGTACCTCAATTCACTACCCGCTTACTGCTGAATTGTTTTATGGCTTATACATTCTTCCCTAGTGCCACAAAAGAAACTGCAGAAAAGACAAAGAAAATATCAGAGTTCCAGGCAATTACATCCCAAATTGAGGGCCTCCAAAGGTAACAGTTGTACTCTATTCCTGCCTAGCCTTTAACTGTCCCTACAGCACTGTACCCTCACAGCACTCAGGGAAAAAGGGAATCGGGGGGGGAAAGGATTTCTAAAAATGTTCAAAGAGTCAAAATGTTTCAGCCTTGGCCAGATGCTGGCTTTTTTTTTCTAAAACAGCTCAACTAGGTTTTTAATGATATTTTTTAAAAATAGAAATATTCCAAAACTAAAATGAAATGCTTAGTCTCAGATTAAAAACCAAACAAAATTAAGTAATGCATTGTAATGGTGACCTGGGGAAAGAAGAAGAAGAAAAAAAAAAATAATTTCCATTATGGGTTGAGCTAGCAAGATTCCTCATTCATTTTCAAGTAAAAATTCCCAAATTAGCAAGCCCAGTGCCATAGTGAGGGTCTGGCCACAGAGATGTGACCAGAGAGCTTCCCCAGGAGGAACGACAGAGAGCACAGGGCATGTTCCCCTTTGTCTTTGCACATCCATGAAGACATGTGCTCTCTTGTCCCTTCTCCGAGTGAAGCTGAGTATCAAGAGTGAGCAAGAACCTGTTGAAACAGGGGCTGTCCTCCCTGCTAACAAACTTTGGCCACTTCTCTCACCCCAGTGATATATCCAGATTCAAGAACACTCTGCGGGAGTACAAGGGGTACAGGGACTTCCTCTATCAGCTGTCTCCGAAAGAGTGGCAGGAGGAATATGACCAAAAGCACGCAAAGAAAAAGGGTTTGAAAAAAGCATCCAAAGCTAACGAAGAAAGCACCTCGCCTCCCGCCGCCATGGAGCAGGGTGAGTGCCGGGGAAGAGCTGCCACCCCTGGGTGGGACAGCCCCGTGCTCCGAGCACACATCTCCTCTTGTCTTGGCAGCCCGGACAGATGCTGACAGTCCTGGTACCGGCTGTATAGATGGGCCAAGTTCTCTGCTGTCTGTAAAAAGTCTGCAGTTCGGGCCGTTGCAGGAGATCAGGCCATATCTCACAAACTTCCTGAAGCCTCTAGCGACAAGGAAACTGTAAGTATGAGATAATGAACACAACAGATGTACGTAGTGTAGAGAGCACCCAGCAGAGAGGAAACCAGCCCCTTGGCTTTGCTGTCAGCGCACCAAGACTCAGTCTCATTGGAACAAATCCAAACACTATTGGAAAGCCACCAAGTCAGTGCCCATGGTCCTTCTCCAACAGAGCTCCTTGGACAAGGGTCCAAGGTCACTGCAGACCCACATTGCATTGACCATCTACCTGCAGGAGGAGCCTCCAGGCAGGGCAATGATGCTGTGACAGGCAGGATAACACTGCTGTGACAGGCAGGATAACACCGCAGGGCCAGCCCGAGCCGTGAAGGGGTGGTGGGAGTACGAGCCAAGCGTGGCCAGCTCCAGCTTTTTGAGGCAAAGAAAGAAATTGCCTGGAAAAGCAAAGCGTGAGCGGCTGGTGAGTGTCCTCAGGGAAGCCACTGCAGTTACTGGGCTGCTGGCACACGGCAGAACGATGTGGACACAAGTGGGGGTGGCACTAAGATGATGCAAATGGGGGTTTTTCACCCCTCCATGGTACAGGGGGACAGGTACAAGTGGAAGCGATGGGCAGACTGCTGCCAGCATCAGCCAGGCAGCTCTGAGCCTTTTTAAACAAGGGTCCTCTGCCCTCCCATTGCCCAAGAGCCCAGCCTCCCATCGAGTGTAAAGGCGCGTGGATCGATGCCCTCAGCCCAGGCTCATGCGTCATGTCCTGACCCTGCTGCCCAGCAGAGCCCGGAGCTGCTCAAAAGGCAGCTGGCGTGGGGGCAGAGGTAGCTCCCAGGCTGCGTATCTGCGTGACCCCTCGCTCCTAGCGACCCCCAAATAGCCCACAGCCACGGGGGGCAAACATGGGAATGTGCAAAGGACTGTTCCGGAGCAAACAGCAACAGCAAACAACAGCAGTGTTCATAAATCACTGACAAGCTCTCCTTTGAGCTATCGTTTCGCTAATACACAAAATGTTTTTTCAGAAGTTCATTGGAGGATGCAGAAAGCGAAACCTCCTCGGATGAAGATGAGGTAAGAAGTCTTGTGTTGAAATATTTGTACTTTCTGTTTTCCCTGTGTCAGTTATTGATGTTACTAATTTCTCTCACCTTCTAAGCATTCATTATGGCATTGAGGAGTTCCTGTAGCCACTAATAATAAATGTGTGTTTATACATTCATAAATGTTCGTGTTTTAGCAAAACTTATAAATACCTTAGTTCAACTTTCTTCCTCCGCTTTCCAAAAGCCTACCATCATCTCAAAGCTTGCCATCCCCCTACAAGATCTGACATAACATAATGGGAGATTTTGAAATTAGTGAAGTTCGTGTTGTGTGTCTGAAACGGAACTTTTCCCACACACAAATGCTTGCACCACTTTCTACTCCCCAAAATGCAACTTGCTTTGGGGGTGAGCTATTAAGGCAGCATCAAGCTGCATACGTGACAGGAAGGTGGGAGACATTTGTACATGGAGAGCCATGGACCTCTCTATATGGGAGAGCATTTGAACAGCCAGGGCTGGTGTAGACCGACCTCCGCGTAATTCAATGGAAAAGCAGCTGGAGAAGGACAAAAACTCATTGCATGTGTTTTCCACTCCAGGAACCCAAGTTGTATTTTACTGATTTCCAACAACTACAGTCTAGTTTCACGGGGCTGGAGGAAGAGATCTTGTCCTTATTCCAGAATTCCCAGGAGACTGAGAAAAGTTTGGACAGAGTCCAACACGATTTCATCACCACATATGAAAGCACGTAAGTATGATCCTGCCAGCGGTGGGAAGGGGTGCGTGTGCCCCAGCTTTCAAACAGAAGTGACCACCTCTGTCCCCCACGAGCACCTCGCTGCCAGGCTGCAGAGCACACATGATGCCGTTCGCACAGCACACAACAGAGTCTCTTTCTCACACCTTGGAGCCCAGCTGCAGCCCATCCAGCTCACCAGCTTGTGAGCTCCTGGGGGTGTCCCATCTACGTCATTCAGGAGATAGGACCTGAGCTCAGGACTAGTTCCTTACTCCTCAAGGGACAGGCTGGAAGGGATAAGCTAGAAGTATCCTGTAATTCTCATAAAGATCAAAGGAAGAAACAAGTGTTTCTGGAGCCATCCAGCCCAGCACCTATTCTGATGCGATGCGAACCCTTCCTCGAGGAAGCCAGCAGGGACCCCAAGCGCAGTGTAGTCTCTCAAGGGCAGGCAGGCACACATATTCCCATTTAAAGTGTAGCTTATCCCCTTGTGAAAGTTTTCAAATGTAATCTACTTTCCCCATTAACTTACTAAACAATCTCGAATGTTCAGCTGTGCTGTTCTCCCCCCTCCACACCAGCACAGTAACTGTTATTCCAGAAAAATGCCAAGTTCCCTCTGCTCGCAGAGCTGGGGGTGCAAGTTCCCAGCAATGGGACGAAGCGTTACCTCCATCTGCCGGCAGCGGGAGGGACGGTCCCAGGCTGGGAAGCAGCAGAGGAATCGTGTGTTTCCAAGATGCTCGTTTCAATATCACCTCCTCTCTCTTCTGGCCTAGAGAGAAGCAGTCAGCAGAGCTGAAACAGCAGGTCGACACCCTCAAATCCTCCGTCACCAAAGAAGAAGAGAGAGCAGCAGATCTGAAGCTCAAAGCTGACCTCTTTTCCTCTGGAGAAGGCGAAGCTGATGACCAGGTACACGCTGAGATCAAGGCAAGGGGGGTTAGTGGGCACAAACGGTTCCTCTCTGCTGGCCACATCCATCCTGGGAAAAAAGCCGCCAGCGGCTGCCCTGGGCAGGGATCCGTGCTACAGCAAGGGCAGGTTTGGGGCACGGCTGAGGCAGCAAACCGGGGTAGATGTCTCTACTCCACATGGGCACAGGGCTCACAGGGGCAGCTGCAGCCTGCCCCAGGCCACAGCAAAGCCGGGAGGACGACAGCAGCAGCAGAACGGCTCAGTGCAGCCGTCTATCCCAGGCACCAGGGCCAGGCAAACCCAGAAACAGGCAATGGAGGCTTGCTGGGGGAATGAAAGCATACCGATTTCCTCTGCTTTTAGATGGATGTTGTGGTTCTACTGGGCAGAACCCAGCTGTGCCGCTCACAGCATCTTCTCCCATCTCCAGGACAAGATGCTCACAAGCCTGCACAAGAAGGTGCTGGAAGTCTATTGCCAGTGCGCTGGAGAAAATGAGACAAACCTGGAGACGGAGGAGATGCTCATGGTGATAGAAAAATACTTCTATGATTTACTGGACAACCTGGAGAGAATCCCACCAGCAGAGATAGCACAGGCTAAGAAAGCCAAAGAAAAGGAACGGAGGATGAGGTAAGACAAGACTCTCTCCTGGTAATGGGGTCTCTATTTCTAAATGCTGACAGGCAAGAGCAAAGCCACGGAAAGAGCCAAGTTTGTCAGATCAACCCAGGAAACCACGACAGCAATCTGAAAGCCCGTGTGACCATTTTGCTTCTGTAAGGGTTTCACATCCATGGGACTTGCATCTCTCCATCAGCCAGCAGCAGCCCACAGCTGCCTCCGAAAGGACCCAGAAGCTACGTTAGAAAAGGGAAAAATCTGGAAGAATAAAAACAGAAACAGATTCAAGGATGAGAATCATCATGTTAAGGAGAGAATTTGCAGTATCAATATTTAAATTGATTAAATTGAAAATTATTCCTCTGCAGTTATTTAACACAAAGTCTGACATGCCCCGATATTTTGTCAGGTTCAATAGGTACATGCGGGCATTGGTCAGCAGTTCCAGCTTTCAGATGTTTCTTACACAAAACTCTTAACTTGTATTACTAAATTAAATAGTAGCTTATTAACATAATTTATGTTTTGAGATGCGACACATTCCTTTTGGCTCAGTTACACATATGAAAGAATGGCTGATTGTATCTGGCCATCCTCAGGTGCATCAGATCCAGCAGAGTAAAAAATAAATAATGCGAGGATTTAAAGCTAGAACAATGACATCTCCCTCCTACTTACTCTCATTCTTTGCATCTTTCTTCACCTTTGGAGCAGAAAGGGTATGATGCTCCCTCCTGATGTTCCGTGAACGGTTTTGCACTCTTAACTTATACAAGAGACAAGACACACATTTATTCTACTCCGGGAACAGAGGAGAAAAATTCAGGATGGAATCTGACCCCACCATACAAAAAGCAAACCCAACCAACCAAAAAAACCTTTCAAAGAGCGTTTAAAAATTTCCCGAAGATCACAACGTTAAGAATTCATTTTCTCTCCGCCGCAGTGTTCAAGAGCTTGAGCCCATTTCTGTCCAGTGCTGCATTTCCAAGGGGAACCGGAGCCAGTTAACAGTGCCAGCCCCCACTGTGCCCATCGGGGCAGAGCGTGGCTCCGTGGGTGTAAAACCCTCCCACTCACATCTGTACGTTACAGACTTGGTTGCACTGGGGAGAACTTAAGACACAATGAGCATCATTCACCCACGGAGCTGGTGAGCATCCTGGTCAGCCCGAGAGGCAAAAATCACACGCTGAAGGTGGTACAGAGCACATCTGTAACAGAGAACAACTCGCTGACATCTCCTTTTGCAAAGCTGGATGTGCTTTTTTCTTCCCCTCACTCCAGAAAGAGTAAAATCAACTCCACCAAGTGTTTCCCTCTTACCCCCTTCACAGCAACAAACTCCAGCATCGGCTGTACCCAGAGCCCCGAGCCCTGGTGGTCTGACGGTGTTGGTGGAGCAAAAACACATTCAGTGTAACTGCAAACCACATTTAACCCATCTTTTATATGCTTCCTTCTAAAGGCTCAGAGAGGAAAAGCTCAGACAGCAGAAGCAGCAGCAGGAGGAAAGATTGCAACGGGCCCTGGAAAGATCTCAGGCACCTACAAAAAAACCGGTCAGTGCAGTAACCCGTGGGAACAGCGCGGCTCAACTGCCTGCTTCAGAGCAGCTGGGGGCACCTGAACATCGAGTGTTTAAGGGAAAGTGTTCCCAGGGGCCCCCAGAGCTGGGTGGGGACGGCCCCCACACTTGGCTGTAGCCCAGTGTGCAGCACTGATGTAACTCACTCCTGGGAAGTCAGTTTCACTGTGTGTTATCCCAGCTCAGCATCTTTCCATTGTCCTCCTATCCTTGTGTCTCGACCACATGGCCCCTCCCTGACTTGCTGGTTTTCTCATTAAGCTCATTTCAAGGTTAACAAACTAGCAGTGTTAAAAAAAAAAAGCATGAAAAGCAGCAAAGACCAGGCAGCAGCAGGACACTCAAGACAGCAGCAGCAAACCCCTATGGCTCAGCTGTACCATCAAACCGTACCTTTCTCGGCGTGTTCTGCTTTACACCAAACTGAGCTTTGGCCACTCAGGACAGAGCTTCAGGCCACGGCTCCTGCTCCACATGTCACAGGTCAGCGCAATGGTGAGAACATCCCAGCTCCCAGTCACACACTAAGCTGGTGGCAGCACGGGTGACTGAGAACAGGCACTGTCAGTCCCTGCCCCTTTACTCAAAATAAGAGGGTTCTGCAGGCTCCTGCTGCAGATACTCCTTCCGACTTCCAATTTCCCATCCTCTTGAGATCATACAAATAAGGTTTTAGGCAGAAAAGCTGCAGGTGCAATCGTATGTTGTAGGAGCTGAAGCACGAGCACATGCACAGCCTCCAGGTGCTTGACACCAATTTTCTGATAGAAAAAAAACACTGAACAGACACACCGAAACCTGCCTAGGAAACAGACAGGAGAGCCTGGCAGCAGGAAGCAGCTTCAGCAGGGTGATCGGTCTGCCCCAACACAGCACCAACACGTGTGCCTCTTCTTCCTCGGCAGGTGGGCAGGCGGCCGATGTTCCGTTCCGTCCTACCTCCCAGGAAGGAGAAGAAAAAGCACAGCCAAGAACAAATGGATACGGAGAAGGAAGAACAACTCTATTATTTCACTTGACAGCACAGCCTTAACCACAGTGTGGAGAGCTGATACTGCTCCAGAAAATTTTTTCATAGATTTACAGACTGTTTAGAGCCTAAGGCATTTGCTCAACTGAACTTCACAGTCCCATGACATTCCCTGCCTTCTCCTACCGCAAGACCCCAGGGAACCACACCCCCACCCCACACCCACCCTCCCCCCCTTATCTTCTGCTTAAGAAAATAAATTAAAATTTTCTCTCATTTTGCTTCTTGGGCTCCTGCTAGCAACACCACTTTTCAGTACTTTTCTCATTCAGTTTTTGACACAAGTAGCACTATCCCTACAAACCTGACCAGTGGGATTTATCACAGGTCTGGCTAACGATCTTTGCTATGTCACGATTAAGCCACATGCCTGACAGACATTATTATAGTCACAAATCCATTGAAGGACTATAAAAAACCCAAAAGCTATGCTTTAATCCAAAGGATGGGTTTCATTATAGACTCCACCTCACTACTGTGGAGAAGACACAAGCGAAGGAAAACCAGAAGCCCTGCAGAAATCAAGTTGCTAACAGCTTTATGTCAGATACATCCATACAAAGAACAGAGTGACAAACTGACCATAAAAAAAAAAAAAATTTATTAACCCTTTTGCACCAGCAGTTCTTCAGGTATCCATTGCCTGCAATGGAGTTCAAGCCAAGTGATCCAATTTTTGGCCCCAGGAGGTTAGCACTTTACATTCACTTACAAAGCAGAGTGAGGTACATTTTCAGAAGTAGAAAGATTCAGCTGCAAGTCCCATAAAAAGATGGAGTGTTCCTTGGCCATTTTAATACAATAAGAACTGGTATGGTCCTTGAGAACAGAATAACACAGGTACTGGGAGCTCGGGTTGTCTCAGCTTCCAGGGAGAGGATGGCGGCCACTAGAGCAAGACCCAGTAGTCCCTTCAGGAGGATCCCTCCCCAACCTTCCCACCTCTCAGGAGCAGACTCCATGCTGCAGTCACAGCCACCAGGTGGAAGATCTCATCTACCAGTGAGTTTGGTTTGGAAACCCAACCTGAGAGGGTTAAGAGGTTCCCTGGACATAAGGTGTAAACTCAGGAGGAGAGGAACAGAGGGACCTCAATGCTCAGTTAAGCTGAAGATAGAAAAATAAAACTGGTTCAACCAGAGGATAAAATACTGCCTACAAATCAGGATCTGAAGTTGAATGTAACCTATATATTTTTTTTTTTCCTCCCCAAGTCTTCAACCAAAAAAAGCATTTATCTGGACACATACATAGTTCAAAAGGCACAGGAAGTAAAAGTGTTTCTGAATGACCTCATGTGAATTCAACATCAGTATAACTGTAAAATAAATAAATATGTGCAAGATTAGAAAGATCACAACGTTCTTCTGCATGACATACCTTACTTTGTAAAAAAAATACACATACGTGCATACATACACCCCTCATTGAGAATAAAAAACAGTACATACACCCTTTTATCAAACTCCTATACATCATTTTATAGGCATTCAGTACATCACCATAAGAAACATTTAAATTACAACCTTAAAATGTAACCAAGGGTTTGGTTTTTTTTTTGTCTTATACAACCCTATACTTATTTATGTGTCTGCAATCCAGATAAGTACAGTACATACAACTCCCCCCACCCCCAAGAGAAACTGCAGCTTTTCAGTGGGGCAAACCTTCCTAGGTAACAGTTCTTTTCCCCTCATAAAATACTCTGACAACTGCATATTCTGTAAACCAGCCGGAAGCTCCATGTGCATGTGACACTCTGGGATATCAATAAAGAACAAGTGTTAACAGTGTTCAACTGAAAACAAACCACCACCAAACCCCAAAGAAAAAGGTAGTGGCCAGTTTACAGGTAACGTGGCAGCAGTTTATAGATGAAATAAAATCAAGGTGCTTAAAACTTACGTAACGGTCAACATTCCTCCCAAAAAAAGGGAACACAAAGATAAAACTAACCTCTCTCAGATGCTGTTGGACTCTTAGCTAATCACTTACAGTGACTACAGTTCTATTGCAGTTTTCTTTTTCAAGTTTTGCTGGAAGAATTCAGCAAAGTATTTGCAACACAGGAGCAAGGAAAGGGAGAAACTCAACATGAGCTACAAACTGATTCACAGCTAAGTTTAACATTTAGAATCTAGCTTCCTAAAACAAAGATTTTAGAGCATCTCATTTTCATGGCATAGGAAATTAATTTTGTTACATGTGACAATTTATACCAGTTTTCTGCCAAAACACAGGGGCCGACAATTATTTTGTTGTGTGTGGAAAACACTTGCGAATTTTAACTCTGAATTCCTTGATGCCACTGGCTCCAGCAGGAGACCAACAGAAGGAAAATTTTAACTGGCGTAGGCAGGATTACGAAATTTGTACTTGTTAGCTGTAGAATACTTGCTTTCCTGTGAAAACAGTAAATATTACCTCAGTTCGAAGTTTAATTCAGTACTTCTCCCTGAAACAACACTGTACAGCAGTCTGCCTCGGGCTCTCCAACCACCAGGCAGACAGGATATCTTACACAGGCACATCAAGTGGGATTTACTTTTTTTTTTTTTTAAGAAAATCTTTCAGCTACAACCATCCTTAGCAAACTGCAAAGAGTGCAACCATAATCCAGTACTCCTAGTTTTCATATCTTCCTTGGAAAAAGACCCACAGTTATCTCACTCTGTCAAGACACGACTGCCCAATTTGTTTTCAAGTGACTGTTCTTAACAACGGTCATTCCAGATCCTGTAAGTTTATTGTGCTTCCAGTGAACTGAGAGTTATCAGAACCTGCATCGTCTTCAGTGGAATTGTGTGGCTCCTGTTAAAGCAAACAGACAGTGCGAAGGGTTCAGTGCTTTCACCTCTAGATGCTTTTAACACTTATCAGTAAGATTACCCTGACATCTATCCAACACCAGAGAAATGCTTTGAATGGCTTAGAGGAAACCCAAAGCTTTCCTAATTTGGGGACCCACTCAAACACTGATGCTACAGGTTTTTCTTTGGAATGCTTCAGATGAGCATTATTAATGGAAACAAATTTAAAATCACTATTTGCTTTTCCTCTATTAACTCTCCACCAACAATCCTACTACTCTTCCTATATTTCTAGGTTTATCACACTAAGGTGCTCCTCTCAAATACAAAAGCTTTCTTTTCTATCCAGGAGAAGCACATTTGGTAAGAATTAAGTGCACTGCAGAGTTTCTCAAAACCAAAGCCCCACGTGGTCAAGCAGCAAACGTGGTTTATGTACATGCTGATCATTCATGCTCAGTTCTCAGCTGCTCCTGCTCACCAACATGCAGTTTACCAGGACAGCAGGTAACAAAACATCTGTGCAAGAAGCTATAAGAAGCTTTCTGCATTCAAACAGCACTGACACTCAGTAGCTAACAAGAGCAAGCAGTGAAACCAAAGACTGCAGAAGCAAATAGACTCTTTAATCTAACTGCCATTCCCATAGACACTGCTCTGAAACCTACGTTCGAGTTTTTATTTCTCACTTCCCACCCTTCCTGTAGCCTGTTACATATCAATTCTGATCCTCTTTCTTGACCCACTTAATATCTGCAGGATGGGATCAGGAAAACAAGGATGGGGCACTTCAGTAATAAATGAGTAACATTTAGTTATTCATTACTCAGTAAGAGAGGAAGAAAAACAACCACTTATGACGCGTCAAAGGTAGTAACATAGACGAGATAAATCTTGCCGTGCAGCTCTGCCTGCTGCTTCTTGTAAGTGAAACTGAACTCCCAACGGAAAACAAGGTATTTTCATTAGGCAGAACACTAGAGCGTTCACAGTAAACTCTCTTCCCTTTCAAGCTAGGCAATAAAACCCTACAGCTCTGACACGCTGTACCTGAAGTATGTGAACAGGTAAATCCACCGTGAGCTGAGAATGTGATGAGGATGACTGAGAGCTCAGCTGGAAGGGCAAATCCCCCTCTCCTGGGGAATCATCCTGTGAAGGCAGAAACATGATGCAATTACAAGACCCCCATGCATCTCAGCACAACATGGCAAATTTCATTCAGCTTCACAATCTGAAGAAATCTGATAAAGCTACTGCACTGTGGTAGTAAGGCCTAGATCTGCAAAGATCTGTAGAAAGATAACTGCCACCTACATCTGAACCTAGCTCAGTGTGCAATCCATTATCCTATCATACACTCGGAAAATTGGCAAGATCTGAAAAGGAAGGAACCGTTCATCTTCCAACAAACATAACACTCAGAAATATGTGACAAGTTTCATAATTTTGTGTGAAGCTGATCCTTATCATGAAAGTTATAAATGTTTACACCCATCAGAAAACTATGTAGACGGAGAACTCTGCCCGTAGCTTCCTCCATACCACATGTTGTTACAAATAAAGTGGAATGAACTAATGAACTGACCCTCTCTCTGGATACCACACAGAAACACTTCGCCAAAAGTGTATTACCTGCCAAGTTCCACTAATCAATCCACATAGGTTACTAGGTATTTTTAGAAAGAAAATCTTAAGCTTTATTTCAACAGTTTAGAGAAATAAGAGCTTAGGCTGAAACTTCATTTTGCAGTAAGTTTCCATGTCAGTCTCATTCACCTTGTAAATGAGAGATAGGTGGAGTAATGTAAGAATTTGGGGGAGTGTCGATAGAGAAAAAGAGTGGAGAAAAAAAATCATACTCCTGTGTATCCCCTAAGTTAATGCATGTCAGTAATCCTTCGCTTTCGGAAGAACAATTACCCCATACCTTGGGACAGGAACGCAGCACCTGTTTTGCTGCTCTCGTAACTGCCTGACCAAACGAGGAAAACCCTACGCCCTTGAAGGATTATAGCTCCCACACACAACACAAACCTTTGCTAAAGCTCTTAGTTCCACCATAAATGTGCCAGTTTGGGTAACAGAGAAGATGAGCACGTTTTGTCTTCTCAGCTCTTACCTGAAGCAGCTGAATTTGCACGTACTGGGCTCCAGTGGCAGGGTCCCTTATGGTCAG